AGGTGGCCCAGAATCTTCTCTACAAATATATCAGTTACTCATTGCTGTGTAACAAACCACTTCAAAATTTGGTGGCTTAAAACAACAACAATCATCGGTTTTGCTCATAAATATGCAATTTGGGCAGGGCTTAGAAGGGAAGGCTCACCAAGCTCCACGTGGCATCTGCTGACGTGGCTCAATCCAGCACAAGAGGAGCCATTTCCAAGATGGCTCATTCACGTGGCTGGCAGGTCGGGGCTGGCTGTCAGCTAGGCACTCCCCTGGGGTGAAGGCTGGGGATCTTGTTTTCTCTCCATGTGGCCTGGGCTTCCTTACAGCATGGTGGCTGGGGACAGGAGAGAGCCAAGGAGAAGCTGAGTCACCTTTCATGGCCAAGGCTCAGAAGTCATGTAGCATCACTCCTATAAGTGTGCCAGTCACTAGACTTGAGTCACCAAGGCCAGTCCATATTCCAGGTAGGGGAATTAGACTTCACCCCTTGATGGGAAGAGTGTCAAAGACTTTGTGAACATGTTTTAAAACCACCTTATGGGGCGTCTGGGTGGCTCAGTTGGTTAAGCGTCTGCCTTCAGCTCAGGTCATGATCTCAGGGGCCTGGGATCAAACCCTGAGTCGGGCTTCCTGCTCAGCAGGGAGTCTGCTTCTCTCTCTCCCTCTGCCCTTCCACCCCCTCCCCGCCTTGCTGGTGCTTGCTCTCTCTCTCAAATAAATAAATAAAATCTTTTAAAAATTTTTAAAAAATAAAACCACCTTAGCAAATGATACCTCTGGTGGTATTTCCTCTGACACCTCCCTCTTTCTTGCCCCTCCTCCCCCATCCAGCCAGTCACCAAGGCTTATAAATTCTACCACCAACAAATATCTTCAAATCTTTTCATTCTCTCATCTCACACCTGGAGCCCTGCATCTTCCTGACTTTCCCGCCTCCACTCTTTCTTCCCGTGATATTTAGGATTAGGTTCATTTGCATATGACAAAAAATCCAAATAACAGTGGCTTAAACAAAATCAAAATATTCTTCTCTTTTACATAAAAGAAACTAATACATAGCTATCCAGGGCTGATGTAGTGGCTCTGTGATTCTCAGGGATCTGGGCTACTTTCATTTTGCTCCTCTACAAAGCCCTGATCCAGGATGGCTGCCTAAGCACCAGCCATTGCTTCCACATTCCAGCCAGGGGAAAAAAAAAAAAAAGAATGAAGAAGGATACACCCTCTCCCTTAAAAGATCTTTCCCAGAAATTTCTACTTATATTTCATTGACCAGTACCTAGTCACACTACCACACCTAGCTGCAAAAGAAGCTGAGAATGTAATCTTTATTCTGGGCAGCCGTATGCCTCACTAACATCCAGGAGTCCATAAATAGCAGTCCTGGACACCTCTGAATCCACACTTCATGCTACACCCAGAATCTTTTCCCTAAAATGCATATCTGAGTATATCCCTCCCCTGCTCAAGGCCTTCAGTGGCTCCCCATCGCTTCTGGATAAAATTAAAATTCCTTAAAATAACTCCAATGTTCCTGCTATCTGGACTTCTTTTCTGTCAACCGTTACTAGCAATACTTCACCTTCAAAGATACTAACCTACTTGCAGTCCAGCATATTCTTTCTTATCTCAAGGTTAATGCAAGGTGTTCCCTCTGCATAGAATCCTCTCCCACCCTCTCTACAGGTTCACTCTACCCACACTTCAGGCCTCAGCCTGGACGTCACTGTCCTCCAAGAAGATTCGGAGGGGCCCATGGACATGTTTTCATTTCTTTTAGAATCAGAAGGGAAAAATGAACTCTTAGGTCCAAGGAAATGTTTGAATTCATCAATATTAATAGTACCTCCCTCACTAGGGTCTTGTAAGGAGTAAATGAAAGAATACACTACATGTGAGGGGCTTAGAACATCCTGTCGTATAGAAAGCTCTCAATAATGATCACCTATTATTATTGCTGTCATTATAGCCAATTAGTGTCCTACCTCTCCCAGAGGTTTTTTCACTTGAGAGTTGGCTCTCGCAGGAGAGAAGAGATTACTTACCTCCCCCAGTCCCCAGTGATTATCTGTAATGGTGGAATTTCAGGCTGCCTTGGAAAGACTATCAGAAGCAAAGAGATGGGGGTGCCTGGGTGGCTCAGTCAGTTAAGCGTCTGCCTTCAGCTTGGGTCGTGATCCCAGGGTCCCTGGATCAAGCCCGCATGGGGTTCCCTGCCAGAGGGGAGTCCCTCTCCCTCTGCTGCTCCCCCTGCTTGTGCTGTCTCTCTCTCTCTCTCTCTGTCAAATAAATAAATAAAATCTTTAAAAAGAAAAGAGAAAAAAGAAAAGCAAAGAGATGTTCTCCTAGCTTCAAATCATCTTCTCTGGTCTCCACCTGGATAGCTTATGGGGCCGGGGGGGCGGGGTTGGGGGCAGGTCCTATTACAGGGGAAACTGCATGGACATTGGAGTCGAAACAACTGCGTCCTATCTTAGCTCGGGCTACTATAACAGAGTACCATAGACTAGGTAGGTTAAAGAACAGAAGACTATTTCTCACACTTCCGGAGGCTGGGAAGTTCAAGATCAAGGTGCCAGCCAATTGGCTCCCAGGGGAAGCTCTCTTCCGGGTTTGCAGACAGCTGCCTTCTCATTGTATCCTCACATGGTGCTCTCACGGCTCTTCTTAAAAGGGCACTAATCCCATCAGGAGGGATCTGCCCTCCTGGCCTAGTTAATTCCCAAAGGCCCCACCTCCTGATGCCATTGCACTGGGGATTAGGGTTTCAATATATGAATTGCGTTGGAGGGGGTGAGGTGTTGAGGAGGGGCAGGGGAACAAACATGCGGTCCACACCAGGTTCAAATCCTGAATCCACCCCTTACCTACAATCGGCAGACTTCCAATTCCTCGGTTGCAAAAGGAGGCTCATAATGGCACCTGCCTCGTGGGTTCCTGGGAGGATTAAATGAGAAATCACATGGGAAATCCGCAGCCCGCTGCCTGGCATGTGGTGGGTTTGTCCCCTCTCCTCCCATCTATACACGTTCCCGAAGGCTGGAGTGCACATGAATTGGACACTCACAGACTCAGAGGTGCCAACATGGAATGTTCTTTAATTTTCTCTCCCTGAGCTCAACTCCTGTGCTCTCACCGCCCGCCCCCCCCACCGCCGCCAGGCAGTAGGAAGTGGCATCTAAACACTGTCGGGTAACCCCGGTCACATTTCATCATGCCCAGTCACTTCAGGATTTGGACCAGCCCCCTCCGTCCCTGGGGAGCCCAGGGGTTCACTGGGTACCCAGATCATGGTAGTTCAACAAGCATCCACTCTGGCTTCTGCCAGTCGGTTCCGGTCCTTGTCTGGGAGCAGAAGCCACAGTCCAGCTGGGACCCTGTGGTAGAGTGAGCAAGCAACTGTCTCGGCTTCCCAGTTTTAGCTCTGAAAGCTCCACGTTCCAGGAAACCCTCAGTCCCAAGCAGACAGGGATGGTTGAGCATCCTACCCTGTGAGCCTGCCCATGCCCTCATCAACCTCCAAGACTCTCAAGACTTCTCCCGGCTCCCAGTGGTGCTTGCAACCCTCCTGGGTTCTGGCTGGGGAGAGGGAGGGCTCCAGGCTGCTGGCCCTGCCAAGTGCCCGGGTGTCCGGGGCTCTGGAGACTGCCCCTCGCCACCTACCCCCACAGCTCACTCGGTCAGCACCTCCACTAGGAGGCAGCCTGCAAACACCATCTACAGACACCTGGGGGCACACTTTCTGCCCTCGATCTTTCATCTTGGAAGCCAGGCTCTTAGAACTTGAAAATCCTCTTACCCGCAAAGCCGGACTCTTGCTATCACTGCTATCATTGGCTATCACCACTATTCTCTGTGCTGGGAGTTTAAACTTTTTTTTTAAATTCAATTTGCCAAGGTATAGTACATCATTAGTTTTTGATGTAATGTTCGATGATTTAAACTTTTTTTAAGATTTATTTATTTATTTGACAAAGAGAGACACAGCGAGAGAGGGAACACAAGCAGGGGGAGTGGGAGAGGGAGAAGCAGGGGGAGTGGGAGAGGAAGAAGCAGGCTTCCTGCGGAGCACGGAGCCCGATGCTGGGCTCGATCCCAGGACCCTGGGATCATGACCTGAGCCGAAGGCAGACGCTTAACCAAATGAGCCACCCAGGAGCCCCGAGTTTAAACTTTTTCCATTTAATAAGAGCAGATAGCATTTATTGAGTGCTTACTGCTGGCCAGGCACTGTTCTAGTATTTTCCACCTGTTAGTTTTTTTTTAATCCTCACGATCTCTTAGTGTGCTGTTACCGGCACCCTCTCCTTACAGTGTAACCCATAGTACAGAGAGACGTGTAAGGAACTTGTCCAAGGTCACACAGCTAGCTGCTTGGTGTGGCCCCGGAGCTGAATTCTGGCCAACTGGGCCCCAGGCCCCTAGTTTTAACTGTTTCTTTCCTTTTATTCATAGGTTGGGTTCATTGTGTTTGTTCAATGTGAAGAGAAAGGTACAGGGGTGGGGTGGAAGGTCATGGAAAATAAACAGAGGTCCGTGCCTCCCAATTTTAGCCCAAGAAGAACAAAGTAGGGGCACTTGGGTGGCTCAGTCTGTTGAGAGGCTGCCTTCGGCTCAGGTCATGATCCCAGGGTCCTGGGATCGAGCCCCATGTCGGGCTCCCTGCTCAGCAGGGAGTCTGCTTTTGCCTCTCCCTCTGCCCTTCCTCCCACTGGTCGTGCTCTCTCTCTTGCTCTCTCGCTCTCGCGCTCTCTCTCTCAGGTGGGTAAATAAAATCTTAAAAAAAAAATCTGGAACGACACGAGTATGACCTCTACCACCACAAAAAAAAAAAAAAGAACAAAGAACAAAGTGGCACATGGGAAGACGCTCAGGTGTGTTAGTGTCACAACTGTGGTGACATTGTCATGAAATGGTGGAAGGAATCTAAAGGTCATTGGCAGAGGGCTGATCTGATTAATTCAGCCTGAGACTGGCTCTCTGTGGAGAGGCGGAGTGGGGGTGCGATGGTGGTGGAGTTGCAGGTGGTCCAACGTGTTGAGTGCATGCTGGGGTGCGCCACCTGCCCAGTGCCCGCCTGCCCTGCTCCTAGGATGGCTCAGTCCGTTCCCCTTGGCCCTCGGGGTCTCTCCCCAGGACCCCAGCCCGCGCCCGCACAGCCCCTTACACCCCACCGTCCAGGAGTGCTCAGACGCCCCCTTCCTGACCTGGGGTCTCTCCCCGACAAGGCCCATCTTGTCCCCCAACCCTGGTGTCTCCCCCACCAGCGGAGCCTGCTTATGTCCCATCCTGATGGCTCCCCACGAGAGCTCAGCACCTTTTCCCCCGCTCCTGGGGTCTCTCCCACCCACCCCCTGCAGGGCCTGCCCAGCCCCTTCCTGCGCTGCCCGTCGCAGCGACTCCTGGACCGTGTGGTCCGGCGCTATGCTGAGGTGGCCGACGCCGGCAGCATCTTCATGGACCACTTCACTGACCGCGACAAGCTGCGTCTGCTCTACACCCTGGCTGTCAGTGCTCATCCCATCCTCCTGCAGGTATGCAGTGACCCCCGCCCAGGGAGGGGCTTCATGTCGGGCTCCAGGGGGGCCAGCCCTGGGTTGAGCTCTCTTCCCCTTTACCCAGAGCCTTGGGGCCACCACCCGGAGATATGCCCTGCAGCCATACCTGGAAAGGAGAGAAAAATGGAAGTAGGGTAGATGCCCATCAGTAGGGGAATGGTCAAGTAAATGAGGGTGCACTAGAACCCGGGGATACACTGGTCACCGAGGCAGTCATGGTGGCCCCGATTTCCTTGCAGTTTCCAGTCCAGAGGTGGAGACAGACACTTAGCAAGTCAGCAAGCATCCGCAGAGCATGCGGAGCCCAATCATACCGATTTCCCCCAAATCCCAAGGGTCAGGACGCTCACGGTGTGGGCACAAAGGAAACTAGGAAGTGGGAGGAAGGAACGGAAAAAGGAGGAGGGCTAGAGAGAGGAGGGAGAAAGAGGAGGGAGAGGAGGAGCAGAAGGAGGAAGAGGAATGAGGGAAGGAGGAGAGAAAGGAGAGGGAGGGGAAAGAAAAGAGAAGGAAAGGAGAGGGAGAAGGTGCAAGTAGAGAAGGAAGATGCCACAACAAAAACACTTAATGTTTATTATCACATAATATTACATAATTATTAATTTCATCATTTCAATTTAATTTTAAATATACTTGTATACAGTTATTAATTATACATAATCAGTAATCGTTGTTACATTGTTACAGTACATATTTTAGTCTATATTACCTAATTGATATAAATATATTTATATATAATTATTTTATTTATTATTTATGATACATCTAATTATATGAT